TCACTTTTTTTAAGAGTCAATTAATAAAAACTTTAAAATGACCATAACTCCTTAAATATTGAGTTTTCAGAGTTTTTAGCTATTATTTGTCATCACTTTTTTAAAAATGAACTAATAAAAACTTTAAAATGGCCATAACTCCTTAAATATTGAGTTTTCGGCATTTTTGGCTATTATTTGTGATCGCTTTTTTAAGAGTCAATTAATAAAAATGGTCATAACTCCTTAAATATTGAGTTTTCGGCGTTTTTAGCTATTATTTGTCATCACTTTTTTAAGAGTGATTTAATAAAAACTTTAAAATGGCCATAACTCCTTAAATATTGAGTTTTTGTCGTTTTTAGCTATTATTTGTGATCATCTTTTTAAGCACGAATTAATAAAAACTTAACCAGTAAGGAAAGCTCAAAAGTCGGGCGGGGCCGACTATATGATACCCTACACCACTATGCATATTTAGTAGAGCTCTGGTAAAAAGGTTTATACAGGGCATTTCAGAGCTTTATGATATATTTGGTACAAAATCAAAATCTATCTAATTCTATCGTGCATTTTACGAACTATAGCTATCTCTGAACCGGGTTTCTCCAAATTTTACGTATAAGCTTCTAGACTGGTGATTTGGGCTGATATTGACCATTTAGTGCACATTTAATCTGAAATCGGATGAATATATATATGGGTGCTATATCCAAATCTGAACCGATTTCGATAAAATTACAAACAGCTATTTCTTGGCTGTATCTTATATCTAGTACCAAATATCATTCTTGTGGAGTGCATATTACGAATGTGAGAGGCTTAAACACCAAATCGGATGAAAGATATATGTGGGAGCTATAGCTATATCTGAACCGATTTTCTCCAAATTTGATATACTTGCTTCTAGGCCGAACTCGGTTGGGTGTGCCAAAATTCAGGTAATTTGGACTGATAGTGGACATTTGGTGCACATTTAACCCGAAATCGGATGAAGATATATATGGGAGCTATAGCTGTTTCTGAACTGATTTTCTCCAAATTTGTTGTATTTGCTTTAAGGCTAATCTCGGTCACATGTGCCAAAATTCGGGCTATTTGGGCTGATATTGGCCATTTGGTGGTCAATTAACCCGAAATCGGATGAAGATATATATGGGAGCTATATCCAAATCTGAACCGATTTCGATAAAATTTAAAACAGCTATTTCTGTGCTCCATCTAATACCTGGTACCAAATATCACGGTTGTGGAGTGCATAGTAGGAATGTGAGGGACTTAAAGATCTAATCGGATGAAACATATATATGGGAGCTATAGCTATATCTGAACCGATTTTCTCCAAATTTGATATACTTGCCTCTAGGCCTAACTCGGTTGGGTGTGCCAAAATTCAGGTAATTTGGACTGATAGTGAATATTTGGTGCACATTTAACCCGAAATCGGATGAAGATATATATGGGAGCTATATCTAAATTTGATCCGATTCTCACCAATTTCAATAGGGTTCGTCCTTGGGCCAAAAAAATATTGTTTGGAAAATTTCATCTCAATCGGATAATAAATGCGACCTGCATTTTGTTCACAAGAATACATGGACAGACGGACGGACGGACAGACGGACAGACGGACTGACATGCATAAATCGACTCAGAAAGTGATTCTATGAAGGTTCTCAAAAGTAACTATGGGTCTATCTCGTTTCCTTCTCCATAAATATTGAGTTTTTGGCGTTTTTAGCTATTATTTGTCATATAAATTGAGTTTTCGGCATTTTTAGCTACTATTTGTGATCACTTTTTTAAAGAGACAATTAATAAAAACATTAAAATGGCCATAACTCCTTAAATATTGAGTTTTTGGCGTTTTTAGCTATTATTTGAGATCACTTTTTTAAAGGGTCAATTAATAAAAAACTTTAAAATGGCCATAACTCCTTAAATATTGAGTTGTCGGCGTTTTTAGCTATTATTTGTGATCACTTTTTTAAAAATGAATTAATAAAAACTTTAAAATGGCCATAACTCCTTAAATATTGAGTTTTCGGCGTTTTTAGCTATTATTTGTGATTACATTTTTAAAAGTGAATTAATAAAAAACTTTAAAATGGCCATAACTCCTTAAATATTGAGTTTTCGGCGTTTTTAGCCATTATTTGTGATCACTTTTTTAAAAAAGAATTAATAAAAACTTTAGAATTGCCATAACTCTTTAAATATTGAGTTTTCGGCGGTTTAGCTGTTATTTGTGATCGCTTTTTATACCCTACACCACATAGTGGTAAGGGTATTATGTTTTTGTGCATTTGTTTGTAACATGGAGAAGGAAACGAGATAGACCCATAGTTACTTTTGAGAACCTTCATAGAATCACTTTCTGAGTCGATTTATACATGTCAGTCCGTCTGTCCGTCCGTCCGTCCGTCCGTCTGTCCATGTATTCTTGTGAACAAAATGCAGGTCGCATTTATTATCCGATTGAGATGAAATTTTCCAAACAATATTTTTTTGGCCCAAGGACGAACCCTATTGAAATTGGTGAGAATCGGATCAAATTTAGATATAGCTCCCATATATATCTTCATCCGATTTCGGGTTAAATGTGCACCAAATATTCACTATCAGTCCAAATTTCCTGAATTTTGGCACACCCAACCGAGTTAGGCCTAGAAGCAAGTATATCAAATTTGGAGAAAATCGGTTCAGATATAGCTATAGCTCCCATATATATCTTTCATCCGATTTGGTGTTTAAGCCTCTCACATTCGTAATATGCACTCCACAAGAATGATATTTGGTACCAGATATAAGATACAGCCAAGAAATAGCTGTTTGTAATTTTATCGAAATCGGTTCAGATTTGGATATAGCTCCCATATATATATTCATCCGATTTCGGGTTAATTGTGCACCAAATGGCCGATATAAGTCCAAATGGACTGAATTTTAGTACATCGGACCAAATTCAGCATAGAAGCAAGTATATCAAATTTAGTGAAAATCGGTTCAGATATAGATATAGCAACCATATATATGTTTCATCCGATTTAGAGTTTTAGTCCCATACATTCGTAATATTCTCTCCACAACCGTGATATTTGGTACCAGGTATTAGATGGAGCACAGGAATAGCTGTTTTAAATTTTATCGAAATCGTTTCAGATTTGGATATAGCTCTCATATATATCTTCATACGATTTCAGATTAAATGTGCACTAAATGGTCAATATCAGCCCAAATCACCAGTCTAGAAGCTTATACGTAAAATTTGGAGAAACCCGGTTCAGAGATAGCTATGTGCACCAAATATTCACTATCAGTCCAAATTTCCTGAATTTTGGCACACCCAACCGAGTTAGGCCTAGAAGCAAGTATATCAAATTTGGAGAAAATCGGTTCAGATATAGCTATAGCTCCCATATATATCTTTCATCCGATTTGGTGTTTAAGCCTCTCACATTCGTAATATGCACTCCACAAGAATGATATTTGGTACCAGATATAAGATACAGCCAAGAAATAGCTGTTTGTAATTTTATCGAAATCGGTTCAGATTTGGATATAGCTCCCATATATATATTCATCCGATTTCGGGTTAATTGTGCACCAAATGGCCGATATAAGTCCAAATGGACTGAATTTTAGTACATCGGACCAAATTCAGCATAGAAGCAAGTATATCAAATTTAGTGAAAATCGGTTCAGATATAGATATAGCAACCATATATATGTTTCATCCGATTTAGAGTTTTAGTCCCATACATTCGTAATATTCTCTCCACAACCGTGATATTTGGTACCAGGTATTAGATGGAGCACAGGAATAGCTGTTTTAAATTTTATCGAAATCGGTTCAGATTTGGATATAGCTCTCATATATATCTTCATACGATTTCAGATTAAATGTGCACTAAATGGTCAATATCAGCCCAAATCACCAGTCTAGAAGCTTATACGTAAAATTTGGAGAAACCCGGTTCAGAGATAGCTATAGTTCGTAAAATGCACGATAGAATTAGATAGATTTTGATTTTGTACCAAATATCTCATAAAGCTCTGAAATGCCCTGTATAAACCTTTTTACTAGAGCTCTACTAAATATGCATAGTGGTGTAGGGTATCAAATAGTCGGCCCCGCCCGACTTTTGAGCTTTCCTTACTGGTTTAAGAGTGAATTAATAAAAATGGTCATAACTCCTTAAATATTGAGTTTTCGGCGTTTTTAGCTATTATTTGTGATTACTTTTTTAAGAGTGAATTAATAAAAACTTTAAACTGGCCATAACTCCTTAAATATTGAGTTTCCGGCGTATTTAGCTTTTTTAAGAGCGAATTAATAAAAACTTTAAAAGCACCATAACTCCTTAAATATCCCTTTTTTAGAATGAATCAATAAAAACATTGAAATCGCCATAACTCCTTAAATATTGAGTTTTTGGGGGTTTTTAGCTATTATTTGTAATCAGCTTTTTAAGCACAAATTAATGAAAACTTCAAAATGGCCATCACTCAAATAGCTAAAATCTCCAAAATCTCAATATTTAAGGAGTTATGGGCATTTTAAAGTTTTTATTAATTCACTCTTCAAAAAGTGACCTCAAGTAATAGCTCAAAACTCCCAAAACTCAATATTTCATTTCCAAACAACGAGATGAAGTAATTCAAAATACGTTTCCAATCATAGTCAATTAGTTCGGTTTCCTATTCTTTTCGATGCCTTCTGGAGAATAATTAATATGGGTTGTACTTTGTTTAAATAAAGTTTATATGGATTGTTGTGAAATATGTATCTTAAACAGTAAAAACACTTTTTATAGTCTCTATGTCTTCTGATATCCAATCTCCCAGAAGAAGAAAAATAAGAGGGAATTGCGTTGCGGGAGGCAAGATCATAAAATACCGATGCGATAAGCAGTAGCCTTATCAAAATTTAGATATCCGATATGAAATGCAGCGAATTTTATCCAAAAAAAATGCCGCTGTAAACGTTCGGAGAGCCTATATAAGGCAACATCGAAATATAGATGTTTTAGTTGTCAAAATGAAGCTATTGGGTATTGTATTGTTCCTGACAGTGGTGGGCTGCACGTTGGCAGCGGGACCGGGTATGGCTCGCTATGACGATTTCAAAGTCTATAAAATCTACATCAGAAATGAACAACAGTTGAGTCAGCTGAAAAAGTTCAGAGATACTTTGCCGGTTTGTTAGAAAACGGATACAAGTAAGAAGTGAAGAGTTGAATGAAAATAATTTTAAATTTCCAGATCCGTTACTTAAATGAAATAACTTCGGTGGACAAGAATTACGATGTCACCATTGATCCGCTGAATCAAGCTAAATTTGAAAAAGAATTGAAATACTACGACATGGAATATCGTGTTACAATTGAGGATTTACAAAAGTAAGTTGGTGGTCGTCTGGCTTCAGTGTTAGTGGAGGGCTCATAAGAATAAAGTAGAGCATGCCACTAGCCTCAATTAATTTAATTAAAAAAATATTTTTTATATTATTTCCCCCTCCTTCTTTACAGAGTAATTGAGGACAGTTTGCCCAGGGAACGCAGTACCCGCAGCACTGACAGCACAGCAATGACATGGGATAAATTCCACAATCTGGATGATATTTATGGTTTTGTAGACAATTTGACTGTGTCCTTTCCCAATCTCATTACACCCTACACCTTTGGTTATTCCTACGAGGGAAGACCCATGAAGGCTGTGAAAATTTCCTACAAACCCAACAACAAAGCCATTTTCATTGAAAGTCAAATGCATGCCATCGAATGGATTTCCTCGGCTACCAGTACCTGTTTCTTCAATAAACTACTCAACTCACAGGATGAAAGTATGCGAAAGCTGTTGATGAATTACGATTGGATATATGTGCCGATTGTGAATCCTGATGGATTTGTTTATACCCATACCGTGGAACGGTTGTGGCGCAAAAATCGTAAGCCAACCGGTTTTTCAAATTCATCAGGTATCTGTTATGGCACTGATTTGAATCGTAATTTTGGCTATGAATGGGGTGCCCAGTCGGCATGGAATTTCAATGAGCCCTGCGACCATTGGTATGGTGGTGCTAAACCCGACTCAGAACCGGAAGTTCTGAATTTACAAGCCTTCATTAACTCCTTCCCGGATGATTACATTAAAATGTATGTGCCATTCCATTCCTATGGAAATTTGATTCTACTGCCCTACGGACATACTAGTGATATTTTCCCACCAAACTATGATCAGATGATGCGTATTGCCAAAGCTTTTGCCGATGCAGCTAAGGTGAAATATGGCACCGTATTTAAATATGGTTCAACGGGAACAATTAATTGTGAGTATAATGAATGCTTATATAAGTACACAGAAATTATATTCATTACAATTCGGATTACTAACCTATTATTTCATCGACTGTATGTCGCTAGAAATAAGTAGTTATTCCTTGCCTGCAAATAAGACGACAAGTAGATAATTTTTGTAGTAGCCAAAAAAAAGAACTTCTTAGTTGTCACCTCATTTGCGGATAAGGAGCATCTACTTATTTTGAGTGACATAAAATTTTTAAAATGAAAAGTGGAAAATTCCATTTGTAATGAGCAAGGTCTACATAAGGTCGGCCAAAAAGAATAATTTGACAATAAACTTAACAGTTTTTGCACTATTGTTATTTAAATTCCACTAAATTTCAAATCACAACAAGTAAAAAAGTATCAGTCGGTTTTCGCGACTGAGGCATACCTCAGCTTATTTTCGATTATTTAAATATGTGCTGGCTTCTATTATGATTACCAAAATTGTTGACCCTCTATTGTCCCAATATTGTCCATTTCGTATCGGCCTTAAATGAATATGATACAAATATTGCTACGTGTCAGGTTTGGACTATATTGGTTACCTTCCTCACTTTGTAGGAAATATGTGATAATTTTTAGAAAATGTTAAATTGTGCGTGAGGTACAAGATATACAGGGAGAGATATAAAAAACTGCAACAAAGTCAAACGCCATAATTTTTACATTTTTTTTAAAAAAAAATATTGAATGAAAGCACAAAATGTCGGAAATAGCATCAAATTTTAGAATAAGTTTAGATTTGTTCGAATTGGTCACCTTTGGCACGAATTATGGCCTTCAAACGGCCAATGAAACCGTCACACGCTGCCCGAATGTTGCTCTGCGGTATTTTGGCCCATTCCCGGGAAAGCGCTTGCTTGAGGTGATCGGCAATTTGGTATTTTTTAACCTTGTTTTCCAAAATAGTCCAACGGATTGGTATTGGGAGATTTTGGTGGCCATTAGGCGCTGGAAATGAAGCGAGGAACGTAATTTCGTAACCGTTCTTGGGTGGCGTTTGCTGAGACCTGTGGGAATGTCCAAGGTCTGCGGACAAAATGTTTGCGTGCCCAAGGCTTTAATACACCTATTTTCGCGATAATATTCGGCATTTATTCTGATGCCAGGGTCGATTAATACGAGCGGAGAGCGACCATCGGTTGTTATGACGGCCCACACCATCACCATGTCCGGCGCTTGAGTTTTGGTGGCCAACCGAAGGTGCACATTTTCAGCTGACCTCTTTGGCAAGTAAACACGACCATTTTGTTTGTTTACTTTTCGAACCATTTGTTGTTTTCTTCCTTCCACTTCCTTGACATCAGCCTACGCTACCAGTATCACGGATGGTACGAGACACAAACGATTTTTTCACATTTAAATGCTGGAGTGCTCTATCGATAGCCACTTGTGGTTTTCCAGCCAAATATCAAAAATCTGAAATCACACTATCACGCTTGAATTCCATCACGAATAACTTTTTTTCTGGAATATTCTCATCAAAATACTTCTGTACGCTTGTAAACAATATAATGAGCTGTCACTGGAATAATTTTAAAGCTGTCGGAGAAGTGGCTTAGAATGGTTAATTGCAGTTTTTTCATCTCACATCTCTTAGCAAAAATGTATGTGTCAAAGGTGATGAGAATTGGATGCTTATTTCGTTTACTTTGAGCATATTTTTCAAAATCCAAACCCTATGAGGGGGAGGTACCAGAAGAAATGATCCGATTTCTACCATCTTTACAACAGATCTTGTGTTAATGGAAATATTGAGATGTGCCAAGTCTGAATGGAGTCGGATGTTAATTTCGCGTTTTATAAGCTGCATGGATATTCAAAATTTTGGCCCTTTGTGGAGAAGGAGTGGACCGATATATTCTATTTTAACACCAGACCTTGGGTTAATAAAAAATATTGTAATCTTTGTAATTTGGAGACAATCGGATTCTTACATTGAACATTTTTGCTGTCTTATAGAACATTTACAATTTACAGGGGATTTAATAAAATGCTAATTCCATTGCATATATATAAAAAAAATCCTCCTGAAGAAGGTTAGCCCTACTAAAAGCTATAATGTAAACATACTAAAACCCTACATTTGCACTTATCTCTTCTCGACCAATTGACAATATTGGACTGCGTACGAAAATACTGATTTACTGATTATAATCGTTAGCAAAGGTGGATTAAACAATGGCCATTCAAGACCTTTGAATGAACCCTGATTTGTTCATTCATTGTTCATAATGTGTCTCTCTTATCGTCTGTTCTGTGGCGATTGTACTCCCTCATCAGGTTTGTACGATAACCAAATAATTAATAATCATTTGTACAAATTATTATGAAATATTGTTCGATAGCTAAAATTTCCGGTTAATGAGAGCGAGTGAATGGAGAAAAGTTGGTTATCGAATTAACCAGTCTGGAAAAATGTTCTCAGTAAGAATTAGCTGATTGAAAATCAGCTGTATGTATTGAGGACCATGTACGTTTCACAAGCCGAAATAACGGTTTTAGACCCTAGGTCTCTTTGAACCAAATTCGTTTCAGAACATTTGGAGTCGATCTAGCGATGTCCGTCCGTCCGACCGTCTGTCTGTATTGCTGGCTGGTGCGCACGATAACTTTCGAAGGGAGTATCCGATTTGGTCCAAATTGGGAAAGAAAAACAGAAAGGCTAGACCTATTCTTTTCAAAGATGTCCGCAATACATTTAGGGTTTGAAATGGACCAATGGATAAATAGAAACCAAAGGACACGAAATCTCGCATCAACTTTGAGTTTAGGACACAGGTTGAATGCACCACTACTTTTGAGTGAAAAAAAAATACATACCAACACTTCCATTGTACCGAACCCCTGAAAATAATTTACAGGCGAAATCCAATATACACAAAAGGCGAACTTCCAGCTTTTTTTATGCTGATTTGGTTGGCGAATATAGTCATATATCGTAACAAGAGTCTAAATTTGGAGACACGTAGGGGCCTCTTGCTTTTGGAGATGATCTCAAAAGATTTAGGGGTTCAAATGACCAAAAACAGAAACATTTTCCTGATCACACAATTGAAACTAATCGACAAGGAATTTTGACTGAGAAGAGAGTTAAGAACAGGTATGAAGTCTAGCATTTTGAATGACCATTGGATTTAGCTGTAAAATGGACCACAACAACTAACAGCACGACGGAGTTCGTAAATGTCCCTGGTCAGGTTAAGGTGCTCCGTGCTCTGGTCAGTGCTCCGTGACATAATTTCACATGGTCGGCCCCGCCCGACTATAACCTTTGCTTACTTGTTTTATAATATTATTCTCAAGCTGTTTTGTATTTTTGGTATGTTCTGACAGTACTACATGAGATCAAGTTTAGGTATTTTTAAGGCTTTGGCTGTGTTTTTCAATGAAAATAATGCGGTAGTACGTTTGAATTTGTTCCTTATTCGAAATTTTTTCATTTGTTAACTTTAATAGAGTTATATCAAGTAGAAATTCTGTCTCGACTAAGCCATGTCGACTAGACTTTTCATTTTCTTATTTACTATAAACAATTCAGATCAAACTTTATAAATCATTCCTGCAGAAAATATTTGAATTATGACGACATTTTTTATAGTTTCTATTTAGATCCTGATGGTATTAATCCATAATAGGTGTTGTCTATATTTTTATTAACTATAAATATGAACATGTAATTAAACCATTGTTTTGTTTTTAGTATCTGGCTATGTTTCTGGAGCCTCCAAGGACTGGGCATACGGTGTCAAACAGATACCCTACACTGGTACCATTGAGTTGCGTGACTACGGTGAATATGGTTTCTTCTTGCCACCCAATCAAATTAAAGAAGTTTGTGAGGAGGTAACCGATGGTCTTATTGCCATGGTAGCAGCTGCCGAAAAAGAAGAACTTTTCCGTAATTCTGGTCCCAGAAATGTGATGTCAATTGTCAATGCTGTGATGTTGTTGTGTCTATTGCAATTTGTTAGCAAAATTTTAATGAAATAAAATAAATAATAAATTAAGATTTTGTAAATTTTGTGCAATGTTTTTTTGGTTCTATGATTATATCTGAAGCATTTTGTCTATAGCAAATAGATCTTCAGCAAAAAATATATACTTACCATTTTCAATTCTATGATTTTGTTAAGGCTTTTTAAATTGTATTAATATATAAAGGAATGGATTTTTAGAAAAACAAATTATAGTAATTATTTAAGATTTCTGCAACATATCTGTTTTATCATTTAATTTTACTAGGCAGTATCATTGATGTACTCAAGTGGACTCTGGATTCGATACAGTAAAATGATCGTCCAATATTTATCCACCTTTGAAAAACTAAATTAAAAGCTCCCAAGATATCGCTTCCAATAAAAGATTAGAAAAAATGGTTATTTCTAATATTGTTTTTCTATCTGACCAACGTTATGAAATTCTGAGTATTTGTGATATCTTTATTATATCCTTAGAACTTACTGAGTTATCAAGTTTCTTTTAAAAAAAATCACATAAATCAATAAATTTAAACACGTTTCAGATTGTAGAGCTGGTCAGTTCTGATAAAACCATTGTCATAAATATTATGGTTCGCCGATAAAATTCACTGGGCATCTACGTTTACTTTTTACAGGTTTGTTTTCATATATATTTCTCAATGATATCGTTTCATCAACAGAAAATTTAATTAAAGCATTCAGTTATTAGGAGAATGTAATGCTAAGAAATTGAAGATTGAAGGGTTTTTATATTAGGGACCCGACTTGCGTCGATCCGAGTTGCTTCGCTTTTTTGAAACTATAAAGTCCAATTAGCGTCGTTGAATTTCGTGTTGTGTAGGTCTTTAAGGAATTTTACAACGTTTGGCAAAACTGACAGGTGACGATCTGTGTCCGACGTCAAGGAAGTGGACGGAAGAAAACAGCAACATCAGCAGAAATGGATCGAAAAGTAAAGAAGCGACTTGATCGAAACCCGCGTCGCAGTGGCAGAAAAAATGACTCGTGAGCTGAACATATCGCAATATTCCATTCGGCAAATATTGAAAAATGCGCTCGGGGAAAAGCCATTGAAATTCCAAAAAGTGCAAGAACTCCGCAACAGAAAGAAAATGGACTCAAAAGAGCTAAAGAATAGCTTCGCATGGCCGAAAGTGGTGAACTGCCGAATTTGGGTTTCTCCGATGAGAAAACATTCGTTGTCCAGCAGTTTGTAAACAAACAAAATGGTCGCGCTTACTTGCCAAAAAGGTCAACTGAAAATGTGCACCTTTGGTTGGCCACCAGAACTCAAGCGCCGGCCATGGGGAGCATTCTATCGTTTTGTGATTTTGCTTGGACATGTATATTATCCTTAGTATACCTGATATAAAAAATGGGGCATATCGGTCCACGTTTCGGTGTGGCTCTCATATAGCGTTATTTCCAGATTTTCGGTATTTTGAATATAATGACACCAGTTTTAAAAGAAATCATCTGTAACTTTATATTTATAGTTTTGAGTAGATGTTATCTCTCCATGCTAAAAATTGTCAAGATTGCAGCGCTATTTGGTGTAGGCCCAGTGAACTGTACTTCCTAATTTCAGGAGTTTTGAGGGTTTTATTATTATTATTATTATTATTATTATTATTATTATTATTATTATTATTATTATTATTATTATTATTATTATTATTATTATTATTATTATTATTATTATTATTATTATTATTATTATTATTATTTGGTATTTTGCTTCTCGGTGGATAAAAACTTTACAATATAGGACCACACTTTAACTAGGTTCCGTATAATACAGTGGGGTCAGATCCCCAAAAACAGAGATAAATTCAAAGGAACCATTTCGTTGTTCCCATTCAATTGTGTCTATACCCTCGACCATTCTATGGAGGGTATATTAATTTTGCCATTCCGTTTGTAACTCCTCGAAATACTCATACATCTATCTATCTTAGCCTTCGAAAGATAGCGTGATTACAACAGACATACAGACAGATGGACAGACGCACATCGCTAAATCGACTTAGAACTTTACGCTGATCCAGAATATATATAAGGGTAAATTTCTAAGTCGATTTAGCGATGTCCGCCTGTCCATCTGTTTGTATGTTTGTTGTAATCACGCTATCTTTCGAAGGCTAAGATAAATGAGTAATGTAGGTCCACGTTTTCATATAGCCCCCATATAACTCTCCCGATATTCGGTATTTTGATGATTTTAGCGACATTATTCACCGGAATTGTTTCAAATTTGGCATTTGAAGTTCGTAATGGATACTATAGCTTATGACAGAAAATTGTCTGTGCAGGTCCACGTCTTCGTATAGCCCCCCTATGATGGTACCTCCCAATATTCGGTATTATGATGATTTTAGCGACTTTATTAACCGGAGTAGTTTCAAATTACGTATTTAGACTTTGTAATGGGAACTACAGTCTGTGACACAACATTTTTTATGCAGGTCCAGGTCTTCGTATTGGCCCCATATATCAGTACCTCCCTACATTCGGTATTTTGACGATTCTAGGTACAATATTTACCGAAATTGTTTGAGATGTCGTATTTGAAGTTCGTAATGGATGCTACAGCTTGTGACAGAAAATTGTCTATGCAGGTCCAGGTCTTCGTATAGCTCCGATATAACGGTACCTTCCTATATACGGTATTTTGAAGATGCTACATTATACCCGTTTATGATATGGTAATGGCTTATAACCAACAATGTCTCTGTAGGTCCACGTCGTATAGGCCCCAATATAACGGCTATATTCGGTATTTTTAAGATTTTAACAAATTTTTTAACGGATTTTATTTTTTGAAAATTTCCAAATTCGTTCCAAATGGTGGAGGGTATTCAAAGTTCGGCCCGGCCGAACATAATGCTTTTTAAATTGTTTTTTTTTTTTTTTATATTCATATCGTAATTAGTAAAACATTGAGTAATGCCAGAAAAAACAGTAAGGAAAGGTCAAAAGTCGAGCAGGCCGACTATATGACAAAACTATGCATATTTACTGTGTGAAGTAGATCATACCAACTATGAACCAAATAGCATTGTTGTATAGTGCATGATATGACTTCGATAAGGATTATATTAAAAAATATTTCAAAAGATCTAAACACTTTAAAGACCAATACGCAATCGATAACGATCATCGTAGTTGATGTGATTTAACTCACACAACTTTGCAATATAAACCCAATTTGTTATCTGTAGCTCTACTAAATAGTCATTCCTTTTCTTACTGGTTAATGTTATGAGTTTTGTGTGAGGTCTTATTTTTGGAAACTTGTTATAATCAATGTTTTCCGAATTTTTGTATGACAGCAATTAAAAACAGAATGTTTATCCAAAGAGCCTAAAAGTATGCAATATAGTTTTAATTATGAAGGGATAATTTGAAAAAAATGTTAAAAAGTATCAACCGGTTTAGCCGACATATGTAAACTCTCACGCAATGCCCCTTTATTATACCCTACACCACAAGGTAATCAGGGTATTATGTCTTTGTGCATTTGTTTGTAACAGGCCAAAGGAAACGAGATAGACCCATAGTTCCTTTTGATGATCTGCATAGAATTATATTCTGAGTCGAGTTATGCATGTCCGTCCGGCTGTCAGGTCCACGTCGTCGTATAGACTCTAATATACGGCTACATTAAGTATTTTCAAGATGTTAACAGAATTTTTAACGGATTTCATTTTTTTTGAAAATTGTTAAATTTGTACCAAATGATGGAGGGTATTCAAAGTTCGGCACGACCGAACTTACAGCATTTTTACTTGTTTTTATAAAAAAAAATAGGGCACCACTATATCTGAATCCTAGATCTCAAAATTAAATTTCAACAGTGACCTTAATATTAAATTTAGTACAATTTAGTACTTTTCGAACAATCATAGTACGCACTCCCAAATCCATCTGCTTCCCTCAAAACTATATACCAATAGTGGCTTCCATATCAAATTTCTGAATTCAAGCTCTATCATAAGACCATACTTTTCATACAGTTGCACTGCACATGTCCAAAAACACCTCATTCTCTCCACCATGGGCACCAGCAGTGACTTCGATACCAAATTTCAGAATTCCACTTTTATCGCAACACCCAATCACTATCAACCACAGACACCCTTCACCCAATACAAAAATATTACTATTTTGTACTTTTGGAACAATGCGTACTATTTTCAAACCCATCTCCATATCTTAACCACAGACTCAAAATCAAATTTGATGATTACCATTTAGTAATTTTCGTATAAATTTAGGACGGGTTTTAAAGACCACATTTGTAAAATTTCCAAAACTTCCTAGATGCTCCAAATTTCCAAAACAACCTAAATTTCTCAATCGTACAACCCCATAGAAATTTCATTTCCAATTTCAGAATTCAAGCTATCGGCTCACCACAATTCAAATTTAATTTAGTACCATTTAGTACACATAATTAAAAATTCCAATCATACAATCCAATAGAAGTCTTGTTTCAAAATTTCAGGAGTTCAACTATACCGCTTCTCCCAAAATTTAAATTGTACCAAATTTAGTACCACTATGTACACATAAGTACGAATTTCAAAGCTTCTTACCTACCCCAATCCTACACTCATCAAAGTTCAGAATTCTTTCCTTATCGGTTAACCTAAATACAAATTGCGCCAAATTTAGTACCATATAGTGCAAAACTTCCTTCATAACCCATTCCTACACATTTCCTATACGACAATCTTATTTCCGAATTTCAGAATTCTAGATATTTGGTTTACGTAAATCTAAAGTGCATAAATTTTCAAAACTTCCTACATATCCCAATCCTATGCTCCGACAGTAATCTTATTTCCAATTTTCAGGATACCAGCTCATTTGGTTCATCCAAATCCAAAATGTACCAAATTTAGTACCATTTAGTACGCTTTCATAACTACCTATATCGTACAGTCCATATAAATCTTATTTTCAAATTTCATAAATTTTACCAAATTTAGTACACATAACTACGAATTTCCAAAACTGCCTTCATTCCTCAGTC